GTGGTTGTTTTGTAACTAAACCCTATTTATTTTTTTATTTTATTGACTTTATAAGGGTTTTTTCTAATTAAAAATGCCACAAAGGTGTCTTGTAAAATTTGTTTTTTTTTTAAAGATAATTCCCCAAGTCAAAAATGTAGTAACTATGTTGGCAACACAAGCCTTTTCTACATATAAAATTTGAAGCATTGACAATTTTACATTGTACTGCCAACATAATGTCATTTTGACTTTTATCTTTAAAAAAAAAACAGACTTTAGTTGATTTTAGAAGGCGTTTCAACAAGGATGATGTCAGGTTGTTTTCAGTACCCAACCTTTCAAATTTTTCCAATTAAAACATAGAAATTATTCAGTACCACTGTTCCTGCATCTAAAATAAAGCCATACTCGAAATACTTGTGAGAATCTGAGCTTGTGTAGGCCTTCATTTGCTCATTGCTGTAATAAGATCAAAATGTAAACAAATGTCAAATAGACATTTTTTCAAACTTATCGTTCGCCCACATCCCGATTTTCCTGCATTTAAGTCTTTAAATATTCACTCTACATCTCGAAAAGTATATTATAACAAAGTAAACTGTATTTAGCTTGAAAATATTCTAAATTAACTCAAGATAAACAAACAAACGTCAGATTTTCCACGCTCGCCATATTGAAAAATCACGTGGTTTGGAGAGCCTAATTACGTAAAATTGCAGTGTGCAGAAATCACAGAACCAGTCAGAGTGAATTTAATCGTTTGAAACTAAAGTGCGTTTTTTTTTTTTAAAGATAATTCCCCAAGTCGAAAATTTAGTAACTATGTTGGCAACACAAGCCTTTTCTACATAAAAAATTTGAAAGCATTGACAATTTTACATTGTATTGCCAACAAAATGTCGTTTTGACTTTTATCTTTAAAAAAAAAACGCACTTTAGTTTTCTGATAGGGTTGCCAAATTTTCAAAATTGAAAAGTGGGAGGTAGGAGGTAGTGAATGGGAAGGAATGAGGGATAATGTTTCGCCGCAGGCGAAAATTAGTTTAAGGTGCCACGCCCTAATTTTTTCACATTTAATCTTATACAGAGTGTACAAAAAGTAACGAGATTGTCCATTATCTCTTAAACCAGTGGTGCATCTGGTGCAATTTGAACAAAATCCTATATTTAAGACGAATACAAAAATTCTATCGACATTGTTGCCAGACTTACCAATAATAGTTATTACAAGAGAAAAAGTTTTGTCGGCGCTTGACTAGACATCTTTATTGACTAGTATTGACAGCTGCGTTTTTATTTTTAATGGATTTTATTGTCAATTTAAGTTCAGCGGTATTTGTTGGTATAGATGAAAATGAGTCTGGTACGCGTAGCTGTTCGACGTATGATAAGGGATCGGTGTCAGATTGGATATCTTTAACTAGGTTCGTTGCAACCGAGCAGTAATGAGTGTTCGGTTCAATAGCTATATGTTGGGGTTGAGCATTAGTTTTTCCAGTTAAGTCTCGGACAACATTCCAGGTCTCTTTAGAACTACTCGATAAATTTTGTATGCGGTTTCTGTAGAATAGTGTCTTCGCGTCGTGTATTAGTTTTCTGTAGTGTTTACGATAGAGAAGGTAGTAGTTATACATAAAGGCATCATTGTTAAAATGTTTCTGTTCTCAGACCTTTAGTAATCCAGTATTTTTGATTATTTCTTTTTCGCAGCGGGCGGAGAGGAAATAATTTATTTACAATTTCAGTAAGTGTCAGATGAAAGGACTGAAGCGAGTCTTTCATAGTATATGTGTTATTCCAGTCAGCAGTACTGCACATTTGCCTAAAGTGAGTGAAGTTTCTTTTACTGAAAATCCTCCCGCGATTTTTATGAGTTGTGGCTTTGGTTGAAAGTGGAAAAGAAGCTAATACAGCTTGATGATCAGACAGCGCAGGATCGTCTGTATAGCAGTCAACTTCAACTTCACTATCCAGATTAGAGCACACATAGTATATGGTTGTGGAAGAATTGTTTGTGATTCGTGTGGGTTCTTTAACATGCATCTTAAGGTTAAAAGATTCTAGAAGACCAGTGAGTAAAATAATTAGATTGTGCTTCTGGATCTCCGAAATCGATGTTGAGGTCTCCAGCAATTATGAGTTTGGTTTTTATTGGAATGTTGGATAATAAAATTTCAAAGTTTTCAATAAAATTGGCAATGTTGGTGTTTGGAGCGCGGTAAATGCATATGACATAGGTATCTAAGGATTTGGAATAAAGCAGGGAGAATTCAAAGATCTTCGTAGCAGAGTCTAGAAACAACAGAAATCTGCACTAGCTGGCAGACGATATAAACCATAGCTGCCATAAGCCTATGACTGAAACAAATTATCCAATCTTGAAACCATGCGGCACAAATGTGTGCCAGACAGTCCCAGAAACTTATGCCAAAACACATCCGTTGCCGCCGAACCGCCCGGGAATTATTTGCATTCAATCATTGTAGGGTAATTGTCACTCATGTGTGACTCCAGTTCCTGGCAAAAACTGCTTGTCACATATGTGTGACGCGTGGTCGTGAACGTGTTAGATGCCCTAAGTAGAAATTTTAGGCTCAGCAAATTTTCGCGAAAAAAGGTTTTTCATTGTTAACATTTGAGATCTCGTTTTTAGAGATATTAATGTTTTAATAGCGCTATCCAGCACTTCCATGCATATACAGGGTGTCGCACTAAGGTCGGCCAGGTACGATATTATGGAGACCATAAACCTTACGTAACTTAAAAACGAATGCAGATATTGAATTGCGGTTTGCGCCAAAATGTAGATATTTTTTTGCTCTTTAAGCACAGCAATACAAAAATAATATTATGCCATTTGGATTTTTTATGAAAATTAGAAAAAACTGGATCTTGAATAAACGGCGCCCTCTAGAAGACGCGGTGGGAACTATCGACCTCGAACGAAGTGGTGTTCTTAATAACAATGACATTCTCTTCCAAATAAACCCAAATTGAATGAGTTTGAATGAGGGGTATGGAAGATACAGCAATTTCTAAAAAAAAAAATTCACCAGCTTCCCCCACCCTTATTACTGAAGATACGAAAAAAAGCCTAATAACCAAACTGGCGCAAAAATTAATGAACTTTTGATTTCTGTTGTTAAAACAGTATCTTAAGATAGCGATTTCTTGAGAAAAGTTGAATTTTTAGCTATATCATCGTAATTGCGCCCCCTAGCGGTCATCCTAGAAACTTGAAAATAATTTCCGTCAATTTCTCTTGGCCGATTTAGTGAAGAAAAAAAAAAATCCCGAAGCCGTAAGGTCTATGGTTTCCATAATATCGTACCTGGCCGACCTTAGTGGGACACCTTATTTAACCTGTCCTATGAATTGGTTCCACATTTGCTGCAATAGATAAGTGTTTATTTTTATATCATCATAATTTGTCCTCCAAAAGTTTCTACTTAACCTTAACACTTTGTTGGTATGTTTTCTTTTCACTCTTTTCTCATGCCTTTTGCTGGAAAATTTATTTTTGACATACTTAATAGCCTCGTTAATAGCTTTATTTTGGTTTGAAAAAAAGGTCGGTTCTTAGAACGATTCAAATCGCAGTTTTTTTTATTTTTCATTTCCAGGTAAATCATATGTTATAACATTCATAAAAAATTAGCTTTTAGGCTGTTTAGACCTAGAGCACGAGGCTATATGTTATGTGTATGTTAAATTTATGTGAGGTTAAATATTTCTTTGATTATATAAAATTTAAAGAAGGAGCAAGAGAAAGAAAACAGTAAATGCATCTCAATCGTGCGTACAGAAAAGTAACAAACAATAAATAAATATATTAGAGAATATTTTTTTGTTGCCATGCTATTTGTGCAGAAAAAAAATTGTTGAAGATTAGTTCTTTGAGTCTTTGTTGATGAAAAGGCCTTATTCTGCGACATTCCTTTACATCTTGTGGAATTTTGTTCTAGATGTTCAAGCCTTTTGACATCATGCTGTGTTGTCCACTAGTGGTTCTTGTAGCTTCTGTCCTCAATGTTTGGTTGTTATGGGTGTTGTATTGGTGGATTTGGTCAACAGTAGTAAGGGTGATATTGGAATTATTGTTTGATATTTGCTCGGATATTTGAATGTTGTGGATAAATGTGCATGTTTGAAACATATACAGTGAATTAATGTTGAGATTAATGTCCATGATTTTATTGCGATTGTATAGTTCTACAGTTAGAATCAATGTGGGCAATTGAAAAAGTTTTTTGAGGGCTTTGTTCTGAAGTACTTTTAGGAGTTTCAGGTAGTTGGCAGTTGCATTTTCCCAAACAAGCCTTAGATAGAAGAGATGGCAGTGGATAAGTGATTGATGGGGAGGTCACATGAACCAGTTTATCAATCAACAAAATAAATACACAATATGACAAACGAGTTATAAAATTCTATATTATTATTATACATAATAAGTATTTTATAAATAGAGATTCTATCAAAAATTCTCCTTTCATTCAAGGACTTTATGTTCAACATGTTCAGTATACCTAGATGATCATAAGTACACATCTCAACATCAAGTCCCAATCTAAATCTAATGAAACACAAAAATTTGTGCTGCACTGTTTCTAGTCTATCTTTATGACATTGATATTATGGTGACCATACACAAGTATAATTCTCCAGTTGAGATCTAACTAAACACACATACAAAGTTTTGAGAGCAAATACATTTTTTGAAACCTTTAGTCTTAGTCTTTTTACAAACCCTTACATTTTAGGAGCTTTATTACAAATATAGTCAATATGATTTAGAAAAGTTAGTTTGTGGTTAAATATAATTCCTAGATCCTTAATTGTAGTTACACAATCAAGAAGAATATTTTGTGTGTAATATGAGTTAAGTTTTGGGCTTGATTTTCTGCTAAATTGTATACATTTACCTATCTTTAGGTGTATATTATTATTCTCGTACCATTTCTCAAAAAGTTGAAAGTCTTCCTGCTTAGCTAGATAAAAAAAATTATGTTTTGTTTTAGAGAAGTTTATCATGGATAAGATGTCTTTAAATAGTTTGGAGGAATCATTCCAAACAGCAGTCACATCAATGAGTGATGAGAACATTCCGGTTAAAGACAGTAGAAAGACTGCAATAAGAAGTCCTAAGAAAGAAATTGCATTGGATTCCGTGGCAAAAAGCCCTGGCCACCATATAGATACACTAATGGACAAGTAATATTTTTTTTTACCCCTTTTACTACTTTTTTAGTCCAACAGTTTCTTCAAAATCAAATAATAATAATGTATTACCAACAAAGCATACTAGGAACTTCTCAGAGCCTAATTGCATGAAACATAAAATACTGAACCATATTATGTCTGTGGTAGTATATTGGAATATGCAAGCGTTTGGAAGAACGGATTATTATCAATAGAGTCACAGTTGTGTTTATAAATTAATATCAATATTCTGTTTTTTACAATTTCTTTCCAACTGAGTTTAGATTGTCTTACTTATTTATATTGTCACTTGCTATGAAAGCCCCTCATTTAGACTTAGCCTTTGTCTGTTGGACAATCCAAAGGGGCTTAATTTTCTAAATCCTATATTCCTTCATTTTATGTATGTACATACATACTTTCAAATATTAACTGAAGTATTTTTCTTTTTAGGTATGGCTTTTTTCTGGTAACTAATAGGTGTCGTGCAGTTTGTATAACAAATGCACCAAGATCTGTTGAGGAGATAGAGAGAGCAGACAATTTAAAAGCTACGCTTCCAGAATTTGTACAGAAGTGAGTGATGTACATACAAAATATTTATCTACTGATACAGTTTTTTTTTTCAGAAAAATCTTACCAAAACCAAACTGTGATGATGAAACCCCAGGAGATCTTTTAGTGACATTGAAAGATGTGAAAGATGCAAACAAAAAAAAGTAAGAATAGTCTGAAAATTAAATATATTTTTTTATTAATTTGGTTTTGGTTTCAAGGAAAACTAAGAAATCCATTACAAAAGAAAATACTGCACCAATACAGAACGAGTAAGTAATAGGGTGATTGAACAAATTAAAATAAAATACTTATAGTCCGTTCATAAAGTCTATAGACTTTTTGGTTGGCTAGATTTTGGGGCCTTACTAGGGCCGTGGGTTAATTGTTTAAATTGAGCGCTAGTCGCCCAAGTCGACACCCCTAATTTTGTCCAATCAGCGTCCAAAATCTGAGATCACACACTCGAAAAACTCTATAGACTCTATATGAACAGACTTTACATAGATTCATTAGTTTGTTGTCTCTTTCCACTTCATTCAAGTTGGCAGTGCGGCTGGGTGAACTTTAAACTGCTTTCTCCCTTACCTAAATCTGAATTATCCAATTACTTCAGGATAACTGATTACAATATTAACATATTTATTTTAAAAATTATTTACCTGAATGATGGTACAGTAGTGTCGCGATAATCCGATCCCGCGATAATCCTTATGCTTCAGTAATCCGCATCGCATTTTCGTTCCCTTGATGTACTCTGTAATCCGGATTTCACTTGATTCAGTAATCCGAATTCATTCACATGACTCTTGAAAATAAAAGCACAGGTTTTCACTTGTCGTTTTGTAACTGCGTTCAAGTGGATAGATAGTTTTTACATGTCTACACGCATCATTCAATACACAGCGTCCTTCCTGACTGTGTGGGCTTTTTAAAAAAAAATAGCACAACTTCTTTAGAAAAATGTAGAAGAAGGTGGACAAAATTCAAATGGTGAAAATTAAGCGTTTTCTGCCTGAATACAGCATATTATTTTTTCAAAATAGTTTTAAAAGCGGAATATAAAATGCTTTAGTAATCCGAATAATTTGATAATCCGGATTGGTCTGGTTTTAATTGATCCGGATTATCGCGACACTACTGTATACCCAAATAAGGCAAAATTTTACACGAATTGGATTTTTAGGCGGAAATTCTTATGTGTACATATTATTAATTTGATTTGCATGAAAACAACTATTGGATCGAAACTGAATTGATAAATTAAGCAGATTCGCATGAACTCGATTTAAAAAATTTAATTGAGTTGGATTAGTTTGTTGTTTATAAACTTGTTTTCAATAATTCAGGAGCTTTCCAATGATTCTTCAAAGAAAAACCTATTTAACTACTCCTCAAGGGTATATGATGATGTCTCAATATGTCTACAAATTCGTCACATTCTGAGTTTTGGTAACTTGTTTTTAGAGTTAATTTCTTATAGGTACCTATATATTGAAGGCTTGAATTATTTTCGCAACCAAAAACTAAGAATTATGGCTTTCCTTATCAAATTCTGCTTATTTTCTGCATTGTTTTTTATATTGGCCATGTTTGCGCTACCTCCTGATACTTTTAATAACCGTACCCTTTTCTTCCATAGTTTAAATATTTGCTCTTAAGCCGTGGTTCTGTTTTAACACTTTCTCATTTTGTTGCTAGAGGCCCTCTATATCTTTTTTGTATTGATCGGTGTTGTTCTTGTAGATTAATTTTTCAATTATTTGTTTTCCTTATGTGCTATCTCAGTCTCCGTCTCTTCGATCAGTTCTTCTTCCAAAACTTTTTTCTATGTTCCATTTCAGTGTTTTTGTTCCATAATGAGTTATGCATTTTCCTTTTATGTCGTTCTAGTAGTTCATTTATTTTATGTGTGTATTTATTCTGTCTATCCTGGTTTCGTTTGATTTTGCTTTTCTTCAGTTTTTGCCTTTTTGATAGGTTGATTGATCTCATGGATTTTTATCTCTTACACTTCAATGTCTACAGTAAGTTTTTTTTTTATAATTTTTTTTTATAATTTCTGTTTGTTGATCCATAATAATTTGCCTAAGCGTTCGTGCTGCTTAAGCTTCAAAGTCTGGCAGTTCTTCCATGTTAAAATTTTCACATTTTTTAATTCAGTCAGTAGGTCAGTTCAATAGTGGATTCTATCGATCATTTCCTTACATTTATTCCAGATAATCGTTCATTCTGAAAACAACTCAAAAAAAAAAATGAACTAACCATCCTTAAAACCCAAATATTTCAAATACCACCAAAACTAACCCTCTAGTTCTACTCTCCATCTTCCGGCACCGGCGGCGCCAGAAGTTACAGATACCTTATTTATCAGTCCAAATTCGTATAAGCATTTCTAGACTCGGTCCAGAGCATTTCTAAAAGTTAATTCACCGCTGTCGTTCTTGAACAACTGCTTTGAGCCATATATATGCCAATTTTGGCTTGACTTCAACCATACCCTGCTCCCTTCCAATGTTTTAAAAACATATAGCAATCATTGCCAATTCTTGTTTCAAACATTCCTTTACTCAATCAGCCTGACCATAGGCTGGATAGAAATAGGCCTGACTAGTATAAAATATTCAACGCATTAGAGGTTGAACCTGATATTATACATTAGCTACTAGCTAGGTATATGTATTTATTTACATCAGGGTGCCAAATCCTATATCGTCTATAATTTTGTTACAGGCGAACTGAAGTCAAAATACAGGAACATTTTAGCAGCGATGAAGAACTGGAGACCAGGGATCCAAAAGAAGGGGAAGCCAAAAAACCTGTTTCCAAACCTCCTAAATGTGAACCGTAAGTAAAGTTGCTTTTTTTATTTTGGTCATAAGGACAAGTTCTCGGACAGGTTTTTTTGTTGAGAATGTAGTTTGATCGGGGCAGAGACTTGAAAGATTTGTTATTGACGACAAAACTGTACTGTGAACGACGTGTAGTTTTGTTTGGTAACTATCTTCTAACGTTGAAGATTCTGTAAATTATTAGATGACTAAAAAAACAATATAAGAAGGGAAGCTGCACACAAAAAAGGCACGAACAATACATAAACAAATAGGAAAAATATAGAGCTGAAGAATTTCCGCAATCGATAGTTCACGCTATTAAATGACAATTTATTCAAAGTGTTTTCAAAAACTCCTGTGAGTTGGAACATTTTGTATATCAGAGGGGAAATCACTCTTCTACCTGCATCTATAAATAATTGAAGCCTTTACCAGGGTAGGAAGGAATACCCTGGTTGAAACTGGCTGGGGCTGGTTAAATTAAGATCAAGAGCCCGGTTACTATGATCACACAAAAAGTGCGAAAATGTTTAGGTTTTTGTTGTGCGAGAGGTCTAAAGTTTACTCGGAAAAAGTGACAATCTTCAATTTTCTTCATTTGAATTTGGAAGAAAGTGATTAGTTAATTTTCACTTTGCATGATGGAATTACTAAGGGAGGCCTTGTTCTACGTCCTCAAAGTTCATCACCAAAGGTTGATATTTTCTTTGGAATATACATATAAAGTTTCTCAGTGCCTCTAGATTTTTTGTTTGTGCTTTTCAGATATGTTTTTTTTCCCCCATTCCAACACTTAGCCCCATTTATTGAAAAAATGACAATCTAAAGAAGAAAAAGCACGCAATAGGAGCTATCCGCAATAAAATGTTCGTCCGACCTTGCCACATTTCTCACAATTTCCCTAATATCTAAGAAAAAATTTAATGACCTTGGCCTAAGGTGTCGTCATAAACTCATTAAATAGACAAAAATATAAACACCCTCATATCTCAAGAGCCAAGAAAAAACTAAAACATCACCTGAAATTGATCATTCCGTTAAAACAACGAGAAGTCTAGTTTCGACCATTGCAACCTTTCCTAACTCTGCCTGACCATAGGCATATGGGCCTAACTGGTACGTATCTGACGCATTAGAGGTTGAACCTGATATGCATGCCATTTCAGGGGCGGTTTTATCAATGTGAAAAAACCATTGAAATTATTTAAAAAAAAATAGCACAAATATAATATATATTTTCTTTCTTCTGCCACTCTGTGACTTTGAGTCGATGCATGTTGAAAAATTTAATGTATGGTGTTTACAAGGTGCAAATATATATTAGTTACCAGTTATTAGGAATCTTTATAACATAAATGTTCTAAATCCTATATGAAGTCCATATTTTTGTTACAGCCAAACTGAAGCTGAAAGCATAGTGGAAATTGGTAGCAGCGATGAGGAACAGGAGAAAAAGGATGTGGCAGACGGAGTTGCCGGACCTTCTTCCAAGCTACCTGGACGTCAAACGTAAGTGAAGGCTCCTTTTTCGTATGGGCACTTAAGGTTGAAAGTACAGTTTTATTGTTAAGAGTGTATTTTTCTTGACAACAAAATTGTACGACTTGTGGTTTTGTTTGGTAGCTTTTTTTTCTATCGATGAAAATTCTATAAATAATTAGGTAACTAAAAAATAATATAGAAAGGAAAACTACACACAAAGAAGACAGACACAAAACATAAACAGATAAAAAATATACAAGGTCTAGCTGTGGAATTCCCTCAATCTATAGTACACCTCTCAAGCAAACATTAAAACAGTTTATTCATCTTCAGATAAACTTACAGGACTTAGGGCGGGTATTATAAAACTATTTTTACAAATAACTAAAAGTTTCATTGTAATTCCAGAAGTTAACTTCTAGTTATTTGTCAAAATAGTTTTACAATTCCTGCCATACAAGATAAATTTACCAATCTATCCTATCCTATTAGTCGACGGATAACTGACCGACGATTAAAGATTGAGTTTTTATCCGTCAGGTTGCATAACCTGACAGTTTACCTTAGTCGGTTACCCAAAGTTATGTTTTTCTTTTTTAATTAATCTTCCTGTATATTTTTACATTTTCATTTTCCACTTTTTGTTTTTTTCACTCTTTCAAGCCCATGCTCTGCACTGACTGGCCACTGAAGCTCATTGTGGCTTATTGTACATCATTTGCATGGGCTGTACTCCTTCCCATTCATACTAGAGTCTAAATGGTCGGCCTAATCATGCATCCCCCACCCTAAGATAGTCTGATTCGCAATCCATGGTCGGCCATTCAGACTCCACCGACATCACGCAAGCCTGAGAAAGTTCTTCCACATCCTCTCGCCAAGCCAACGAGCCGGTTAAGTACCACAAACAACCATGCCCTAGCCGGGATTCGAACCCGAGACGCGAAGCAGATACACTCACCATTACACTGCCTAGGTCTGCTGATTTTCCACTTAGATTTCAACTTGGAATAAGTAACCGATTTCTCGCTTGAATAAAATAATTATGATTGTAATTTTAGTCATAGCTAAACAAAGCTTAGAGGAATTACAATCCCTAATATTTTACAGGCTGGCGTGAATCTAATGATTAATAAATTATTTACAAAAGTATCAAAAACTTTCCTATTTCAAATGGAATTGACGCACACAATACGTACAGGGTTATTGGTTATAAATGTCACCCCTCTCTATCTTTTTTATTTGACATTTTAGAAAAAAGTGTCCCAAATAAAAAATTCATAGTTGAAATTAAATTTTTTGAAAAACTCACTTTTGCATATACAGGGTGTTTCAAAAAAGCTGATCGCGCTCCAACTTTCTTATTTTAAATTTAATACCCTGTATATTATTCAATATTCGGATTTTTCGTCAAATTCTGAGCAGATTTCATGTTACATACCCTATACCTAAGTTCAACTGTTTTGGAAATATTGACAGTAGAAAATTGACTTTTTTGCAACTTTGACAGGCTGTAAATCCTACAAGATTAATTTTAGAGCAAAACCGATCTTACATTTTTGTCTTAGATTTTAATAAACTATCAGTTGACACCAATATTTGACATCAACTTTGAATTTACTCTCTGATTGAAAATTCCAATTAAATTTAATCTCCGGTTAAATTCAAAGTTGGTGTCAAATGATAACTTGTTAAAATCTAAGAAAAAAATGTGAGATCGGTTTTGCTCAAAAGTGAACCGTTTAGATTTAGATTTTACAGCCTGTCAAATTTGCAAAAAAGTCAATTTTCAACTGTGAATATTTCCAAAACAGTTGAACTTAAGTATAGGGTATATCACATGAAATCTGTTCAGAATTTAACGTAGAATCCGAATATTGAATAATATACAGGGTATTCAATTTGAAATAATAATAATAATAATAATAAATGCCTTTTATTTCACCAAAAATATAGTTTACAAAACATTAATAACAGACGGCGAGATCTAGCTCATGCTACTCCATCTAAATAAGAAAGTTGGAGCACGATCAGCTTTTTTGAAACACCCTGTATATGCAAAAGTGAGTTTTTAAAAAAAAATTAATTTCAACCATAAATTTTTTCTAAAATGTCAAATAAAAAAGATAGGGGGGGGGGTGACATTTATAACCAATAACCCTGTACCTTTCTCATAATAAAATTATCTTCCAACGTTGCCACATTTATCAAAATCTTATGTCTAAAGAGCTAATTAACCATCCAGGTTTTTAATTTCAAAATCAATTTTGGTCTACTACAGTCTAACAAAATTCAAGTTTTTTTATAGTGAAAATGGAATGAAACGGGATGGCGCGTCTCCAGTCGGAAAAGAACCAGACAAGGTTTCATCAACTAGCCGCCACGTCCAACCAGTGCCTTCTGGAAATGGAAGAGGACCTCCCTATACGTGCCATGAGGAAAAAATAATTTTGCGATATATCCTTGACGGCAATTTTGAAGAATTAGTGAATGGTAAGAATATTTGGATGAAGATGGAAGATGATGGAGTTTGCCCCAATAGGCCTTGGCAAAGTTTGAGAAATAGATTTAAGAGGCATATCCAGAAAAATTTGTCATGGTAGATATTTGAAGAAAAAAAAAATTACATAGATAATTATTGTTGATCATTTTTGCAGGCCCGTTTACCATCTCACAGCCGATGAGATATCACGTATCAGGAATCCACAGTTTGGTGCATATTCGAGAAGAACAAGAGAAGTAAAAATGTAAGTATATTATTTAAAATTTAGCTCTTCCCATAAATCATTCATGTGCATAATGTTTTCATGTTCAGTAGACAGGTATGTACATCGTTTTATCCAATAAATCATTAGTCCTAATAAATTAACTAGGCTTAAAAAAATATATATATATAAATAATAAATCAACCTACCCTGACAGTCTGTGGTTCAGAGACCTTTCTCCTTATCCTTACAGATATAAAGTCCTTTCCCAACACATTGTTTCTTATTACAAAAATCGAAATAATTATTTTCTCGGAAACCCTTGGAGATAAATCAGCAAAAGCAGAGCTTTCCAATAAGCTATTATTATAGAAGGTGTTCTATTGAAAAAAATCGGATTTTGGTCAATATCTCGGAATCGGAGGCAAATAGAAAAAAACTGAGAACGTCACTTCAAAATTTCATGAAATTTGAGCCTCAGAGTGGAGGTTCATTTTTTTGTATCTTGCTCAAAAATTGACGTTTCCTATTAAAAGTGTCCAAATTGGCTCACCCTTTACTGTACTCTATGTGTTAAAATGGTTAAACAATGCAATATGCCTTTGAATAGTATCTATAAATCAAAAAGCATTTACTAATGTTTTTATTGCAGGATTTCTAAGGCAAAAAAGTCACGTAGACAACAAAAGGCTTCGGACGGGTTTTATGATATGGATATGAACTGGTCTGATTCTGAGAACGATAGTTAATTAAGTTAATTTTTTTCTATATTTGTCTTGATTTCCTTTTGTACAAATCTGAGTTTGAACAATGTTTTTTTTTCCTATCCTTTGTTGTTTATTATTTTGTTTCTAGTTTGTAGTTCCATGTATTTATAGTACTTACTTATGTGATGTTTGAAAAATGAATTAGTAACATTTGTGAGTCCAAAAACTCTTTGAAATTCAATAAAAAATTGTCTATTTTCTAAAAAAAAAAAAATTAAAAAATGGTCGACAAACTAATGCTTATGGAATGGTACGGTCTGATTCTGCTTACGATGGCGAATAGTTATTTAAGTTAGCGTTTTTACGTTTTGTTCGATGAATTTTTCAGTTTCTTTGGTAAAAACGTTTCTTCAAACGATCGTTTATTTTTATTTGTTACTTGTTGATTTTGTTCTAGTTTTAAGTGCCATGTATTTGAAGTACATACTTAAGTGATTTTTGAAAAATTATTGATTTGATTTAATAAAATTTGTACTAAAACCAGAAACTATTTATCTAATTATCCCAAGCATACACTAAATATTATATTCTGAATGGAAGTTCCTAAAAGTAATCAAAATTGAAAAACAAAATAAAATACTGCACAAAAATAAAAACATAGATATACAGAAGCAATCTCAGTTAAAGTCAAGTCAAAAACAGATAGACAAAGGTATATAAAACATATCTTCTCTTCTTCAGTGTTGAAGACTTTTTAGTCCAGCCTAGTTTCATAGGTTGGTCCGTCTGGAGAAAAATGGTACTTATATAGAAGGTACTTTGTGAACGTATTTTGAACCCTTTCTAGTCTGCTTTTGTGGATAGTGTATTTGGGGGTCCAAATAAGCTGCTGGATAAATGAAACGGAACAAGCGATTTTTCAGGTTAACTTCAAATTCCAATATTACGCGAACTAAAAAATTAGTCAACCATCCAAGGACCTTTTTTTTCAGTTATACATGTAAACTCCATACTTTGTGAGTGGCTTGCTTACATCAAGTCCTACAACTTTTCCTCTACGACTTTTCTCGGAAATGGCACGTATGCGCGCAGGCGACTCGCAAACATTTTAGGGGTATCGGACTCCCCCAATTTGCCATTATTTTTGTCGGGCAACTTGATTTCCGTGATTTAGAAATAAAAATCAAACATTATTCGTGAAATTAGATTTTCATGTATCAAGAAACATAACCACGTCAGATCGACATTTTGGGGGTATCGGACTCCCCCAATTTGCCATTATTTTTGTCGGCCAAGTTGATTTCCGTGATTTAGACATAAAAATCAAACAGTATTCGTAAAATTAGATTTACCTACATGTATCAGGAAACATAGCTACGTCAGATCGACATGTTTGCGAGTCGCCTGCGCGCATACGTGCCATTTCCGAGAAAAGTCGTAGAGGAAAAGTTGTAGGGCTTGATGTAAGCAAGCCATTCACAAAGCATGGGGTTTACATGTATAACTGAAAAAAAAGGTCCTTGGATGGTTGACTAAATGTTTCAATGAACGGTTTGCGAAAATTAACTTCTAAATTACGCAAATCACTGATTGATATTCTCTTTGGTTTGCGTGATATTGGAATCCAAAGTTAAACTAAAAATTAGCTTGTTCCGCTTCATTTGTTGAGCAGTATTTTAGTGTGCTACGGACTAGTGAGTAATACAGACAGCATACTGCTTTGGTATCCATTATATTTTTGGAATTCCTTTTTATAAAACCCAGCATTCTAAAGCCCCTAATTGCAACGTTTTCAACATGCAAATTGAAACTGAGGTCTTTCAGGAAAACCACTCCCAAATCATTGAATGAGTCGACTGACGTGAGGAGTTGATTGTTTATAGTGTAGTTACGAACAATGTGATATTCACACCTATAGAAACTGATGGATTTGCATTTTGGAACATTAATGTTTAAGTGATTGAGGGAACACCAAGATACAAATTGTCATCCTGCAATCGGTTGTTGTCCACAGATACCTTATTGTAAAATTTCAGATCATCAGCGTACAACGTGACATGGGAAGACGAGAAGCAGGACGTTACGTCGTTGATGAAGAGAAGAAACAGTACAGGTCCTACGTGAGATCCTCTAGGGACACCAGAGGTAACCATTACTTCACAGGGTAGTGTACCACCGACATCAACTGGCTGCCGGCGACTATTTGAAATAGTCATGATGTTAGATGATACACAAACTAAAGCTTATCTTAAATTTTCAAAAAAAAAACACCAAGTCTTCCTCCACAAATAAACTTTAATTATTTTATAGAGCCCTACATGTTTCGAAACTAGAAAGTTCCATCATTAGGGGCAAGTATGCTTATGCTTAGAATAAGTGCTTTTAAAACATCATTTGATAAATTTTAGATGAGGTCGCTGGACTAGCAAATGGTGGAGGAAAATCAAAAAAGGGGGTCATAAATTAAAAAAAAAAAAAAACACATTAAAATACAAAAAGAATTAAAAAAATAAAACGTATACTGAATAAAACTATTTAGGAACCTGCAATAAGGAACTTTTAATTTGTTTTGTCTTTTAGTCTTATATTAATTTAAATTTATGAAGAGGCATGATGTAATAGGGCTAGCGCTCTCCACAGTGGAAACATGTAGGGCTGTATAAAATAATTAAACTTTATTTGTGGAGGAAGACTTGGTGTTTTTTTTTGAAAATTAAATTTCAACTCCACTTTGAGTCATGGACTACTTCTTCAACTTATCTGAAATGCCTACTTGAATATAGTGAAACGAAAAAACTACTCGTTTACTAGTAAAGTTCATAGCCATGTGCAGAAGAGGCGCTAAAAACATGCTTCTGGGCTGTGGGTTTCCATTACTGATAATTTTAAAATGTTTTACTTGCAAAAAGTTTTTATGTGTATAACATTGAATCAACAGTGTATTGCAACTGAATTCACCATAAGGTGGATCTGATGTAGTAAATAAATTGAAATTAAATTCAGAAGCTGCTTTTTTAAATTTTACTAAACAGAAATACAAATCCAGTAATCAATCATTATTAACGTAAAGCATAATCCATAGGCATAATCAGACATTGGCATTTTGAGTGAAACTCGAGACAAGATTTTTCTGAAGTTTAATAGAACAATCAAATATCCTGTTCACAATCCGATGTCCACCGGTGCAGGTAAATTTATCACCTTTCCCTATCAACTAGCATTGAAAGGTGATTTTACCTGTACCTACCTGTGGACATCGGATTGTGAACGGATAATAAGTTTGTTACGAGAAAGCAAATGTGTTCACTACATTATTTTTTATTTTTCGTTTAAATTTAATTTTGCTTGGATTTCCATATCACAAAGGCAAATTTATTGGTTTTCTTTAGAGATAACTCATAACAAATCAATTACCTACCTATTATATGATAAATTTAGAATTTCTTTTAGCGTTTCTACAGGTCCCACATAACAAAGAAGTATGCAAACAGTAGGTTGGCTTTCGAGACAAAGAGAAATTATATATCAAGGATGCTTTTCCACTGCTTCAACAACAAACTATGTTCTTGTTATTGCTACAAAAAATGGAAATTTCAAGGAAAGGTTCGGAAATGATGTTTTAAAAATAGTGATGCAACCCAGTATATTATAACATAAAATTACGAAACTGCACTTCCATAGAATTTATTAAACCCTGGCTCAGTTCTAACATTTTTCCACAGATCCAGGATAGCTGATCAGGCTATAATCCAGTAAAGTTTTCTGCTGGGTTGATAATAATTATTGACATTTATAATAGTTATTTACATTACAAGTGCGTTTATAAACATGATTACAATAACGAGTGTGAAAACTTAAAACGACGAGGTCGTAAACCGAGACAAAAAATCACACAAGTTTTGTAGTCATGTATAAACGCACGTGTGATGTACAACGTTTTATCTACAAAGCGAAAAATAAGAATATTTTTTCAATTAATTTCGTTTATTAAAGCTGCCCTAAAGAGTAGAAATAATCTCACTCACTCCAGGATATTCAATCCAGACCTCGATCCAGATTTCCAGAGATTTTCGAGGCAAACAAACCTTATTTCCAACAGGGGTTCTATTTTACCATCAAGTTTTCCCTCACGGTTACTACACTAGACGTTCAATTGTAACCGAAACTGAACTAAAAGGCTAACCGACACCAGCCTAAGTAATTGAACAGTTACTCAGGTCTTCAATCAACTTAACCACAACCAGTAGCCAGGACTAATAATCTGGTTAATTGTAAGAACTACCATCACCTGGAACATTTTGGTATCGTACTAGTTATAGTTAACCTATATATTATTATTGTTTGTTTACATTCCGTCCCTATTTGTACACCACAGTGATCACTTTCGGTTTTTCAGGGAGTAATTCATTGCTTGCCCCAGTGTGGCAAATGAATTATTAAATAGGTAACTTAACTAGGCATAACCTGATTAATTAATGTCAACCTTCATTTTACCTTTACAGGTTTAGGTTTGACATTTGTCAAATCAAAAAATAGTTGTGTTATAGATTCATAACCTCGTCCATAACACCACTAGTTGTGTTATGAATTCATAACCTAGTGTATAACACCACTAGTTGTGTTATGAGTCTCATAACATAACTCAATTACTAGAAAAATGGTTATGTAAAAACGTCATAACCAAACGCTTGTAGATAAAAACACATAATAAATTAGTTACCTTTTATTTTTTTTATATATAATAATGTATAAATATGTAGACACAAAGCAAATATAATTTAAAAAAAGCAAGGTGAAAAGTATCAAAAAGCCTATACAAAATACACAAATAAGTAAAAAATTCGAACATGTTTCAAATTTTACAGGATAGAGGATCATTTTTTAACCAAATTGTCTAGTTAAAAAATCATCCCCGAAAATTGAGAACAAATTTCAAACTACCTTTATCACAAACAAAATCTCACAATAAAAACAATGTGCGTTACACAATATAACATCTGTACAATAATAAAACTTTATATCGCAGGTAAAAATAATACAATAAATATATACATTTTGACTAGGTTTGCATTAACATTTTGTTATATAATATACTTAATTAAATATTATGGTCAAACAATGTTATAATTTTCTATTTCCGCTTCAGTTAGAAATACAACTTGTGTTCACGTTTCGGATAAACTCTATAATAATAATTGGAGAGTAATATTTTGGCTATTCAGTCTTTTTACAAATATAACTTCTGGCTAATCCAATAAGTAATTAATAAATATTGTTCCATGTTTCACCTCTGTATTATAAAAACATCCTGCATTAAAATCTAGATGATTCTACAAAGCCCAAGCAAGCACTTACAAAATTATCTGGTCCACGCTATTGATGTTGATACTAAGAGGTGAAAAAGAAAACTACGTACTACTTTTTTAAGAGTAACGACACCTTATTAGATCTGAGGAAGTAGAGCCAATACAAGGAACATGTCTGTAACTAAGTTTGACTTGTAGAGTCTCCGCCTCTTTGGAGGGTACTAAATCTACCTCAC